TAATGATCTACCTTAATTTCCAAAGAAATAAATATTTCACCTAAATCGAGTGAGATCGAGTTCAAAATGTAAAAACTTAATGATTATCTGAATAAAATGTTAAGTTGAGAAAAAATTATGAACTCAACCATTTTTAGAGCTTTTTTAATAATAATCTTTTCGTTCTAAAAAGCTTGATAAATAAGACAAATTCATATATAAAGTTTAAACTTAAAACAGATTTTAAATATATGTTTGAAAGATATGCATGCAAATGAAAATATTTTTTTTTATTTCTTCATGACTCTAGTATTCTTACAAGAATTGATGCTTATTTGAATAATATGTTAAATTCAAAAAAAATCTCCTGCAAGTATATTATCTAGATATAAGCAAAATTTTAACAAAAACTATTTTTAAAAGAATTTTTGGAAGCCTTGATTTTTTTGTATTTTAATGAAATGGAAAATACACTTATAGTAGGGTACATATAGGGATTTGATGAAAATAGACTATCATCTGGAGTGATCTATTATTATAGATTGGGCGATAAATACACTTTTGATATGGAAGAGGAATTTTCGATTTTATAAACCAAAATATCAGGATGTATTTCAGTTTAAAGAGAAATTTATGCTATTAAAAGTAATTTTAACAATACAAAATATTAAAAATGTAAATGAATTATAAGAAATTTCTTTGTTTGTAATTTATAATTCCATTAAAATATCATAGTTATTACTAATTGCATAGGTAAAATATATATATGTTAATCGTCTTTTGTCAAAATTAGACGAAAAATTGTAACTCACACTTCTAAAATTAAATAGTTATTGATAGATAATGAAAGAAATAAACTAATGGTTTTAAATTATGATTCAAAGACTTATTATTATTTTAATTTTGATAAGGATTTTAATATGGATTTACGTAAATAAAAACAGGAGTTGAGTTAAAAAATAAGTTAATTTAAATTAATAATTTAGAGCTTATGCTTTGAATGGTCCAAGAAAAGGAGAGAGATATTTATAGAAAATGAAGATGGAACAATATCAATTTGAAATGTCTAAAATTTTAACCATTTTTTAAGGATATTTTTATAATTAGATGTATTTAAGGCTTATTCTAAAGGAATTAACAAGATTTTTTGGAATGAAAATAATTATTGCTCTTAATTGTATGCGATGATTCATTCTTAAAAAACAATAGTATTTTCTTATGAAATGGAATGTTATTCAAGTCGATAATTTATCAACTTTTTGATTGTTATTATAATTGAATGTAATCTTTAATATTATTATTTTTTTTAAATAAAGATTTTGAGCTAAATTGTTGAATTGATTTTAATTCATTTTATATTTTAGATGAATAATATTACTTTTATAAAATTAAACGATTAATAGTCGTTTTAATTTTTTAACACAAAATTAAAATTTTTAATTTAGTTTATTAGGGGTGCTTCCTTTAAATATAATTAAATTAAGTTTTTTAGTTATTTAGAGGGGGGTTTTTGAATTTTTAGATACTTTAAAAAAATTAAGTCATTTAGTGTAACCAATATCGTGTGAACAGTTCAAACAATATCAAATTTTTTCTTTAGAGAGGTTCCACAAGATATTAAGTCGAAAGAGAATTTTTAGATGGATATGTAATTTTCTTTTGGAACTTGAAAAACGATTGATTTACAAACCTTAAGATCAAAAAATTTATTAGGAAATATAGCACATTTGTAGCCACAAAATAAGCCAATTGAATTAAACTTTGAAATTCAAAGATCGTATGATAATATGTCAAATTAGTCTATATTGAGACTTAGACTAAAATAATAAATACATTTGTCATCTAAAATTTTATTTTATTTTTTTCTTCAAATATGTCTATTACGATATTAAAGTTAAAGAATCCATGAATGATAAAAATTACTCATTTAATCGTAAGAGATCTTTTGTTTAAAAATATTTTCATTACTTTACTAATTGTGGAATTTGCTCTAAAAATTGAAATTGTTTAAAAAAAGAGAAAGCTAAATTGGAAATTGCTTTTTTAATGGTCCAAATTGCAAAAAATAGAGAGGATTAAAAAGTGTTTTTTAATATTCAAAATACATAAAAGATTATATCAAATCTGAAAAATAAAAGATATGAGTTAATTAAATTGAATTTTAATAGACCTAAATCCATTTGGTAAAAGAAATCTTTATTTAATTCAAAAATGTGGAATAAAATAATTTATAAATTATCTGTTATTAATCTTATCATCATGAACTCAATTAGCAAGCAATTTTCTCTTGAGTTGTCCTAACTTTGATGAAATTAGATCAACTGCAACTGCAACAACCCTCTTTTACTTAATTCTAAAACTTTTTTAACGTTTTACCTGTTGGCTGTGTCAGTATCATATTCATTTTTCTTTAACCTACAATCTGTTTCTCTATTTTCTAATTCTCTTGTTTTTGCAACAATTCTTGAATCTACTTCAAACTTTTCATTTGATGCTTATTAAATTCTTGTGGATAATGACTCAACAAGTCCTAAAATAAAATTGTTAGAGAGAACCTTCCATGTATGTACGATCTTAGCTAGCTTAGACTAATTGATCTGATAAAAGAGTTTAAAGTAATTCAAAATTGCCAGATCTAAGTGCTTCTGCTTAATCTTCTCTAATTCTTTCAGACTAAATGTAATTTTCAATTTATTTGAGAATTGATAAGACTTTTCTAGTCAAAACTTCAGCTTATGATGGTTCATCTTATGCTTTGGCAGCTAAACGACTCATCATTTCAAGCATGGCTCTGTATCCTTCTAAATGAACCTAGAATAATGTTGTTATTAACATGATGCTTTAATTTATTGACTTTAGCGGCTACTTAAGTAAATGATGTAAATTATTATCCTTAATCTTCAGCATCATCAACTTCAGATTAGTCATATTTGAAACTGTATTTTTCTTGTAAGAATGAAGTATCAGGTTTTTCAAATCTTTTTCTATTTTTGACAAGTACGTCTAAATAACTATTAAAATATCCTTTGACTTAATTCACTCCAAATAATGCTTATTCCAAATTATCTAAAATTACTTAATAAGTAATAGTTTCTGTCTCTCTTTTATGGGTTTAATAATTAAGTTCTGCTTTAAGATCATTAATTTCATTATTTTTTCTTTCCAAACTTGCTACTGCTGAAACCTTCTAGGGATTCAAGCTGTCTAATTCACTTTTTAATGTTAAAGAATTGACAGTATTTTAATTAATTTGATCTTTTAGAGTGTTTATATCAATGTCACAATTTTATGTAATTCTAGCTATCCTTTTATCATCTCTTTCTTATTCATTCTCAAGTGTAGTTTCTAAACCTTAAACCATATTAATAAGATTAGAGACTACAGGATCGCCGGTTTGCAATTCCATCAAAATGGTTTGTAATATTGTTTAACCAAAGTTAGAGTTCTATAATTCCTCTATCTATTAATCAAAATCAGCAGCTAAGCTGCCAATAATTAGAATGATTGGAAGTACAATCGAAAACTTCATTATGAATATTAAATATATTATAAGAATCCGTTTTTATTAGTTTTATATTATAGCAATAAAAATGAAACAAATTCTAATTTACTTAATATGGCTTTGAGTTTTGATCTCTAATCTCTTTTCAAAGATATCAAATCAATCTATTAGAAATTTGATTATGCCTTTCAATTATTAATTTTATTATTCAACTATTTTACTTCTCTATTTGCTTTTTCTATAATTATACTACGCTTTTGTAGTAAATCATTTAATCTTGATATCTTCCTTATTTCTAAACTAGATTATTTTAAATTAATTTATAAAGTTTCATTTAAGTCTTCAGTTTCTTTATGAATACTTTCATTAAAAAAAATCAAACAGAATTTACTAAAAAAATCTATTTGTTTATTAGAACATTAGTTCTGGATATTTAAAAATATAATTTCTGTATCAATAAATCTCATTTATTTTACGAAATTTTGAAAACTATTGCTAAAACTTGAATAAATTTAGTTACTTTTTTTTATCACTATCCATTATAGATTAATTTAATGAGTTTTTCAAATATAATAAAGGTTGGTAAATAATATGATCTATAATTTAAAGTTAATTTCTTCAATTTTTTTAAATCCATCTGTTATT